TCGTATCCCAGGCGCCGAAAATGCTCGCGCTGATGCTGGGTCACGGCTCGGCGCTCATATTTCGTTTGCTAACAAGTTTTCGTCTCTTACTCGCGGATGGTAGCAGATATTACCAACCATTACTTCTGAGGATCTGACTAAGCTTTAACTACGTATCTCCGAGCTTACTCCGTTGCCGACTCCTCGTTCTTCAAGTACGCCGCTGCCATGACGAAGTGGACCAATTGGACCGCTCGACGAGGTATCCTTCCCCGACTCACGCACCCGCACGTCAACGACCAAGTACGCATCATCTCTATGTTCGTGGTTGACGGATTCCAGCACGGTTATGGGTCTGTAAAACCGATTCAGAGCTCCACCATCATCTCCACCCTTCATACGATTAAACACTTCTTCGCGGCCGAAGGTTATGACTTATCGATCGGCCACCCGCATTTCAGCATGCTGCTCAAAGACATCCACCGCACCGACCCTCCCCGTCAGCGTAAGGCCCCCTTTCAATTCATCTTCTGGAGGGATGCTTTGACTCGTTACAGCTCGACGACGCTGCGGCTCAAGCTCTGTGGGGGGTCCTGTGTGTAACCTTCCTCTTCTTACTGAGGAGATCCGAGATTGCAGCTATTACATGAGCTACCTTCAAATGGTTCGCGCTCCAGGCCAACGATATTTCGGTAGCAGACATTCACGGTTTCGACACAAGTAACCCAGCAGACGCGCATTCCGTCACGATTCGGCTACGAGGATCCAAAACCAACCAGAGCGGTCCACTAACCACGCGGATGCTTGAACCTTCCGGCCACGAATACGTCTGCCCAGTGCTTGGAGCAATGCTACTTCTACGAGTGCGAGGGGATCTCACGGCAAACATCCCAGCTGCCGTGTTCCTTGACAGCTCGGGTTTACCCGCCTGCGTGTCTACGGCCGATGTGTCGAACACAATCAAAAAGGCGGCATCAAGAATTGGCGAAGATGCTAGCTCCTACAGCTCGCACTCTCATCGATCTGGTGGCGCAACGCACATGAACTGAGCTGGAACGGACGCTATGACCATCCAGTTTCATGGCCGATGGAAGTCCGATGCATTCAAGACCTACACACGCCTCTGTAGTGAATCGGTGTCCAAGCTAGCGCTCAAAATGGTAAGCGAAGGGCGACTCAACCCTCCGTTAGTGAACGCAGAAAGCACGGCCATTAAATTGGGGGCGTAACTCTCCTCGTCCCCTGCTCTAGTCGAGCTGATGGTCTAGCGATTAAGCGTTCTACTAATGAAGTTGAAGTTGCCCCTCATTTGTTGTGGAAAAGCAGATACGACTGAAAACGTGGTAGCGCTTGTTGCGAGGATCTGGGTAGCCGTTAGCGACGCATAATACTGCAAACTTACGTGAAACTCGCTTTGTAGACAGTCTGCCTAGTTTTCTTAATCATCTCCTTAGCCGTTCGATGGGTTTAAAAATACAGTAGCAGGTGGTGGATTTACGATAATGCGAGTTTATAAAGCCGTGATCCACGAACATTTACAGTAAAGCGGCCAGAATTGCACTTTTGAAGCTGCAATTCTGGCACAGATGCTGCATTTCGTTCACATCCTCCCGTAGCTGTACAATAGGATTGGGATAGACTTACCAGCGCAAATATTTGGCGCTGCTTACGGGTGTAGCCTCGGGGACACAGCGATTACAATACATGCAGATGGATTTAGACAAACATTTAGCTAAATATTTGGGAGCGACTTTTTTTACACACATTTACAATGACGGGCTGTCAAAAAGATTTAGCTCCTAAAAATGTCGGCAGATCACTGCAAAGCACAACAATAATACCTGCATATATTGCAATCAATGTGCCCACGATGCTACACCTGCAAGCAGCTCGTTGTGGTTGCGCTGGTAAATCCATCCCTTAGGCCAGCACTCCATCACGATACGTTGGTGATTTTTCGTTCAGTTTGAAACCTTCGGGGAGGAACAGCTTCATGAGCGCCACGACCATCTTGAAGGTAGACCTTGTGTGCTTCGTGGCCGCATTTGTCGAGCGTCACATTCGAGGTTCTTGCGCGTACCAGGAGTGCTGTGCGTCTTTTAAGGTCGTAGCTGCAGAGGTACGTCTTCGCTTTACTGTCTGCGTGTTGCTGACCGCTCCCTCACTTGTGTTGGCTCCTGATACTGCTGATTCTGCTCGTTCGCGCTTGCTGTGGATCTTAGACTCCATGGTAGACAGTCGGGCGTCAAGCTTTTGGTTGACTTGGATTAACTAAAAAAAAAGGAATGCGAAGTCAGGCTATCACTCACACCTGAATTACCCATGACTCGCTCGAGAACGCGATTCACGTAGCTGTGGATATCGGGCGAGGCGTCGACCGTTTTCGGCTGTCCACCAGACTTTGGTGCGTCTTGACGATGGTCAATCAAGTCAATCAGAGGTGCAGTGGGCGTCTGAGATGGTAGGGAAGGTCCCTGCTGTTCTGGAAGCTGGTTGAGAAGTGCTGCTGGTGGTGATGAGTGCGTGATTAACGCAAGGACAACGGCAAGCAACGGACACGTGGTAAGGTCGGAGTCAGGGAAGAGCGCTAAGCCTTGCTCCTCGAAAGTCTTGACCCGGATGAGCCGAGCGAAAAAGATATCGCCGTAACCAATTGCAAGATTTGTTTTGCGGAGAAGCGTCAGGTCTGACGCGCGCCCGAAGAGGTACCAGAGTAAGCATAAGAGCGCCACATCTTGGTAGCGCTGGCGCAAGTTGCAGTTGAATACAAGTATTCGGTCATCTGCTTAAGAGATATCTTCGTGCCGTCTGGGGCCTTGTAATCAAACGTTCCTGTTTCACGCTTCATGCAGTAGCGTTCCAACACTTAATCTTTCTTAAGCAGGTTCTTTTCAGCTGAAATGCGATGCTCGGGAAACTGGTCGAGCAACCAGCTCTTTGCCCGTCGGTAGTACTGCATCACCGAGTGTCAAGCTAGAAGCTGTCCCTTGCGGCCTTCCTTGAAGGCGAGATATTTGCCAAATTTGTCTACCACACCTTCTTTAACCAGCGCGGCCGTAACGCGTATCATAGACCCCTCCAAGTATTCCCACGTCACATCTTCGTATTTTAAAAACGCTACAAACGAGCGTGCTGCGCTTTTCTGAGCGCATTTCGTGTTGGCGGGCACAAAATCGCTGAGGTTCATACTGAGTCGGAAATGTCCGAGCTTACACGTTATTCGATAAAGATGCTAATGACTTACAGTTTGTTAAAGGATATCAATAGCTGGATCGCTCCCTCCAACCCGATATGTCGGAGATGCTGTCTATTTACACAGCACCTTTCGGATTGGACAGATATCTGCAGCAACTCTGCATTTATTCGTTTAAAATTATCAAGAGCCTACAGAACACACTTCATTGGCTAATACCGTGAATAGTAACGTCAAGTATGGTCGGAGAATTGATGATATTCATCCATACCAAAAGGTACGTGTTCATGCCAAAATATAATTTTCAAAACGAGATTAGATTGCTAAATTTAAAAGTACATGAAGCAGGTGGTGGATTTACTATAATGCGAGCTCATAAAACCGTGATCCAAAGTGATTTTCAGTAAAGCAAATAATTGCACTTTTGAAGCTTGTATTTCCGGCACAAGTAAATAGGACCTCGAGCTGTACACCACAATTAGTCAAGGTATAACTACATGTAATTAGCGTGAACGCGATACTGTTTTCGAGTGTTGTCCAGACAGAATAAGCTCTTAGTAAGAGCTACAACAAAACAAACGGTACTGAAACCCAGTTTCTTTGAAAGAGAGCTACTTCGAAGAAATATTTACAGTACCTTTGTTTTTATAATTACTACGAGTACTGTATAATACTAGTACAGTATTTTAATAAAAGTACGTTAAGAAATAGAGGGATTTAAAAAACACATAGCGATGAGACTTTGTTGTGTTTTGTGAAGTGGTTGTTGATTGTTGCAACGGAGAAAATGGGTACAGGACACGCTTAATGCTGGATGATATCCTTCACATACCGTGGTCTAAAGTGACTACAGCCAACAATGTCAGCCTACGTACTTGCCGGGGAAAATCAGATCTACAAATGGTTGAAAACAACCTTTTTTGACATGGGTACATCGGTATTTTGAAATTAAGAAAAAATCTGTAGCCACTTTTCAATTTGACGAAACGTGGTGTGGTGCACGCATTAGACTATGTACGAGTGAAGCCATCATCGGACGGACGGGCGGCACTTGACTCACCCTCTGATCGCGACGTCGCGCGAAGACCACGACATGGCTATACATACGTTCGGCCACATGTGCGGACATGCGCTCCTAATAATGATAACTGCTCCAGTCACTATCCATTGAAAATAGGTCACCGCTGTAAGTTACTTATTACAGCGGTCGGCAACAGATTACATGTAGCAGGGTATTCGCTCTCTGCCGTTGGCAGCTGTGACCATGATGGATCAGCATACTGGGCGCAGGTGAAACTCCGCGAAGAGGCGCTGACAACTTGACTCGCGATTGGCTCGGCTATGTGGGCCTGATCGACGACTGTGACACGGCCGTTTCTCCATCGTGATAACCGATATCTGCCGTGAACTCTATGCAAGGATTTTTTAATTTCTTATCAAACCATAGCAAAATACATTTTCACTTGAGCTTGTAAACCATATACCCGCTATATCGCATAGCAATTCTTCGTCAAAAACACAGGCTTTCGACAGGGCTGGGGCATTGAAAAATCTGTTCGGTCAGCTGGGTTGCGCCAGGAGAATTCTTCGGTCAGTTCGGCCGTCACTCACCTAGTCAAGTCATTTCGAGGGTGGCACCAGCGGTCAGTTCAGTCGTAGCTAAGCCCAGCGCCGAAACGTCCGCCGGCTGCAAGCGAACGCCGAAGCAATACAGCGCCGCCCTACTCGCGCACGAGGCGTTCGCACCCAAATATCCACGAGAGACCAGCGCCAGAGAGCAGTGCGTGGACGCACCTGAGGGCTAGTTAGTTCCTTTCCCCGTCCCAATATGATGACGACGCAGCAGCAGAGCCCAGACCAAGTCACACCCTTCGCATATCCGCACGGAACGTCCCCAGCTGCAGTCGTCTCTTCCTCATCTTCCACCTCCCCCGCGATCACCGACAACGCTACCGAGACCAACATGTCAGGAGGCACTGCGATGTCGAACCGCAGCGCCACTCCGTCGCCCCCGAGCGCCCAACGGAAGCGCAAGCAGCTATCGAGCCCCACCGACGACGCCGGCGCCAACGGAAGCGCCGACGCACCAGATGCCGATAAGCCCAAGGAACAGCAGCCGTCAAAGAAGTCACGCCGCGAACTGCCACCGCATACAGTCGCCATCCTCAAGGGATGGATGCTCTCTCGCGAGCACGTCAAGCATCCGTACCCCACGGACGAGGTAAGCCATGGATCCAGAGGATGTCGAGCAGACACTCGTCGTGCAATGTAGTCTAACATCCATATTTTTCGTGACGTTGTGTGACTGTCTATTAGGATAAGCAAATGCTACTCAAGAAGACTGGTATCAGCATGAAACAGCTCACGAATTGGTTCACCAATGCACGTAAGCGCATCTGGAAGCCAATGATGCGACGCGAGCATTCCCGTCAAATGCAATCGGCCATGGAGTTCGATCACACGGCAGTGCGTGAGTTCCCAGGTGCCGGACTCAGTCAGCAATACGCAGAAAGCAGCTATGCTCCTCGTGCGGCTGTGCGTCATTCTTTCGATGCTGGAAGTCTCGGAGCGCCGCCTCACGGGGCGGCAGCAGCGTTCGACAGGTATGCGCGGCCTCAGGCCATCCCTGTGAACGCGCCGCTGTACCCGTCACGCGCTGTGCGTTCCATGTCGGAGGCTCCTGCCAGGACCGATGTAGACGAATATTTGGATGCCGAACGGATTCGCGAGCGTGTTTTGGAGCGCGGGCAGGACGGCAACGCCCCACGTAACAGTCTATCGCCCCGTGGACACAAGATTTTGCAGGAATGGGTGAACGCTAATGCTCGACGTGAATATCCGTACCCGAACGACAATGAGCGAATGCAGCTCGCTAAAGATACAAGCCTTGATGTGTCGCAAGTGGACGGGTGGGTCACCAGTCTTCGCGAGCAAATGACCCCCATTCGTGCGTCGTCGATCCCGTCTGCAGGAAACCCAGCGTTCCCACCACCGCCGGCGTATGGTGAACGTCGATCCATTCCAAGCTGTGGAAACCCCATGTTCCCTCCGCGTCCAACCGGGCCAGGGTCAATGCGACCGTCTATTCCATCGACTGGGAGCCCACAGTTCCCACCTCCACCTGCGCGTCGGGACGCTAATGACTCACGGTTCGCTGCTTTCCCCCCTACCGCAAACTACCCAGGCCACGAGATGACGCGGATGCGTTCCATGACAATCAGTGCCAGTCCTTATCTGCACCCGCCGCCTACGGCCAGTTCTGCAGGTATGGACGCTCAAGCTCAGCAATCGGCCGCCAGTGCGTTGCCATCACTATCCAGTCGCAGTTTGCTGAGCCGTCCAGCGCCGATCGTTACGTCCAATGGCCCCACAATGGGTCAGCCACGTGACAGTCGATCGCGCACACTCGACATGGGTCAGTTCGCAGAAGCGCGGCGGCGAAAGATGAATTTTCAGGACATCTTGGCGTCTACAGGCGGACCCACGAACAGCGCTGCCCCAGCAGTACCCACATCTGGTACAGTGCTACAGACACCAAGTCACCCGTCTGCTATCGGCGGCAGCATGGAGAACGTTTACCCGAATGACAGCGCACCAGTGGTTACGGCGTACCCGCCCCCTGCATCCAATGGGTTTCAGCAGAAGCAGCCAACGGCCTCTTTCGAGCAACAATCCGGACGTGTAGTACTACTATGATGGATGATGCATCTTTAATTTGTGAGTTGAGTAGGTGAGGGCTTCTTCAATCCTCACTTTTGTGGTTAGTCTTTCATACCCTGCAAACTTCGTGTGTCGATCATTGATTCTTTATAATAAACGCTAAGCAACTCTGATCGTCTAAACCGAGTCCCTGTAAATCTGCCCATAAGTCAGTGACGCATTGTTCCTGCAGCTCTTCAAGGTGTCTGTGTTTGATCCGAAAGTAAACTTGGTAGCGGATGTCTGGGGAAAAGTTAAGGCCACCACGGTGTGCCAGGTTGGGGTGGGCCAGTACTAAGTCGCCGCGAAATGCCAGGAGCTGTACAGGTGTGCCCAAGTCTGGTAGTGTGCCATCTCCCCACACGCTATCGGCCTTGTAACATTCGTCATTGTGGCCGCACAGTTTACCGTCGGCTGTCAAGCGACTTTGAAGTGACACATGCGAGCCAGGAAATACTGTCAAGTTGCCACACAATGGCTCCGGTACATTCGACAGAGCGATGCCCGCCAGTAATGTGAACGGATGTAGACGACCCTGTCGCATGCCGTCCGTATGCCATTCCGTACCCAGTGGTTCTCGAGGCTCGCCTAGCTCCGGAAATCGTAAAGCAATCTGTGCTCCTTGCGGTGGCACCACTTGGTCAATACCGACAAGTGCTTCCACGTACTTGCTGACGTCTGTGACGCGGTATAGATCTAATATTGCGTCACTATTGGAGGTGTTACCTGCCAGTTTTACTGCGCCTTCGACTCCGCCATCGATCATGTTTCCAGGGATACCGAGGTCATGGTTAATGCGCCCCAGCGCCGAGTTGGCCAAAGCCAGCGGCACCGCGCCACGGATCTGCAGATATCCGTTTTGCATGAACGACCGTCGCTGCGACTCACTCAACAGCGAGTTATGCTTAGATTGCTTCATTAACGAGCGCGTGGTGTCCAGTGCGAAAGCCGCGCGATTCGTCACAACAGCCAAACGGAACAGACTGTCCTCTCCTTTGCCAGCGTCACCAATGAATTCCGACGCAACCACGCCCAAATACCATCCGTTGGATTGCAAGCGATTGAGTTTCTTCTGATGTGCCACCGCCTTGAAATGCACCAAATACTCGCCATCTTTTGTTTCTTCTGGAGCTTCGAACTCCACCAGAAAAGCGGCAAACTTGGCGGCCGCCAACGCCCAGCTCACTTGGCCGTTCAGCGCCACCTTGAGCTTCTCATAAGGTCGCTCCAAACTACATAGGCTCAGCACTAGCGGACCGGTGGAGGCACCACGTTCCACCAGCGCGCGGAACGAGTACCCGCTCGCTGCATGAGTCACCTGCACCACAGCACCAGTCTCCATCATTGCGACTGGTGATTGGCTGATTTTTTACAAAATAATGAAATGTAGCCAAATCAGACGAATAGATATGCTGGCTCGGCGACGAAGCTCCCGGCTCGATAAAGAGCGACAGGCCGTGGAGCAGCAAGTGGAGGAAGCGTTCAAGTTGAAGAGGCACAGTGACACAGCGGAGGCTGTACTATTACGACGAAAAAGTAGCGCGTACCTGCCACCCACAGATGATAGCCTGCGCGTTGCCAAGCAAATGTTACAGGGCGTGTACTCGTTGCAAGAGCTCTACGAGCGTCAGCATTTCATAGAGAATGCAGCGAGTAGTATTGCAATGGTAGGGCGATGATTAATCATCCCGGTGTAATGATTGGATGCTAATTGATGCTGATATTCTGAAGATTGGCGTGTTTCTGGTTATCCTAGACATCGAGTACTTTATCGACAAGGACGCCAAGATGGCAATTCGCATCGCTAATTCTATTCTGACGAAGATTCTCCTTAGTCTTGTTCTCTGGCGCTTCGTCTTGGAGCGACGTATCCTGATTCGCCGCAACGTGTTGCCACCTCATGTCACTGTATTCAGGATGCCAAAGCAACTGATACAGTTAGCGCTCGAGCTTGGTGCGTGCTTTATCATCATCCCACCTGGGACCGATGGCAGCTTTGAAGTGAAAGAATGGAAATACTACATGGACGATGGGTCTTGTGGTGCACCATTTGTTGTTCAAGACAACAGTTGCTACCAGGCGTACTCTTACCCGTACGTTAAATCTAAATTTCGTGCTAGGTTAGCATCAAACAGTGCAATCACTGAGCATTCAAGGCATTCGTTGTGTACTTTGCAGGTTTGAAGTGCTGGGACTGTTCTCGCTGCTTCGGCTGTATATGATCCCACGAGTGCTTCGGAACTTTTCAAGTTTTGCCAGTTATCGCACATCGTACTTGGGGACACTGCACCGTGTGGACACCATGGCCCCTCTTTTCGCGATCAAGTGTTTTCTTCAGTCGCATCCATTTCGTTTGCTCGCATCAGCTTTCTTCGGCACGCTGGTGATCACTTCGTACGCACTTTCAATCGTGGAGACGCCTGTGAACCCGAATCTAGCACCTCTTTCCAATGCTATGTGGCTTGTGGCTCTGACGATGGCTACGGTTGGTTACGGCGATGTTGCGCCTGTGACTAGTGCTGGCCAAGTGCTCTTAATATTTGGTGGAATGGTTGCCGGGATCTTGCTCGTTGCAGCACTGGTACGTCAAGAGATAAACGCAACTGCCCCTTTTCAGTGTATCACTCAGCCTTGAATTGTTGTTATTGCAGAGTGCAGCGCTGTTTGCTCTCCTTCGTCTTGATGATCGGGATAAACGATTTATTCACTCACTGCGACTACAGCAATACGACTATGAGCTGAAGCAAGCGTGCGCACGTACAATCCAAACATCTTGGCGGCGATTCCATGATTTTAAGCCTGGAACCCGCCCCTATCGAAAGCGTAAGGTTTTCAATCATTCGTCCATGTGTCTGCTCATTCTGAAGTCTAACAGGTTTGCCTAAATGTTCTAGTTTATGACAAGCTGTACCGATTCACGTCAATTCAGCGGGAACTCCGTAAGAAATCTGTTGCCGATTACGTGAGCATCAAGACAGAAATGCAACATTGCCAAGAAAAATGGCTCTCTGCTCTTCACCAGGAACAGGCATCCACATTAAACCGCCTTCAGAAGATCGAAACTCGCTTGGATTTTCTCGTGGAGGCGCTGAGTAAGCCTCAAAATCAATAGTGTTGGCTACATGACACTCGGGAAACTCAGATAATGCGATGACGACGGCGAGACATTCTCTTCATCAGCTGTAACAGTGGCGCTGTTGTTAGTAGAAACGCTGCCCCGTGGTCGGATCATCATGGTTGAAGCATTTATCAGGTCTGCTTCATACGACTGAAATGCTGTTATTGGGTCATTTTTCTAGCCACAACAGACAAAGCGACTCAGTCCACGAGCACGGAGCGATGAGCCGGACGAATCTTACCAGGATGTCGTGGATGCTGGTTCGTGGGATAGTGTTGACTAACGCAAATTGTCTTCCGGCTCCCCTGTTAGCCCACGACGTTAGTGATAAGCTTGCCAAGTGAGGAGAAGCAAACTGCATTCACCTGAAGCGAAGACGACTAACCGATGTCTTTGGTGATCGTGTCATGGCTTCGTTCACTGGAGATGGAAGAATCACCGGTGATTCTCGTAGCGGAATGCCAACCACGCTGTTTGGATATGGAAACGAAATCGCTCTTGACGATCGCTTATAGGCGGACTCGGGGCCCTGAAAGCTGGTTAGAGCGCGAACAGATGAGGTGGGGGGATCAGGCACAGCAGCTAACAGTCTTGCCGGTGAAACTAGCGGCATTATTGAATCGCTTGCGGTCTCACTGTCTTCACTGTTATCGACAGCTGCGCTTGAGGCAAGGCTGGAAATGGCGCGACGTCGAGATCTCACATGCCCATCAGGACTGCTATGCGTCCTACGAACTTTTGGGTATTTACTGCGTAACTTCCTCCCGCTGAGTTTAGGAGGTGGAATACAGGCAAGATCCAGACAGTTCGTGGAGTCTGTCGATCCCGAGGTATCTGAAGTGACTCGGTCAAGCAGACCAGAGGAAAATGACGTGGACTTGCGTTGTTGGCGACTTAATCTTCGTCGACTCCCTGAACTCTCATTTGTATCAGCAGTTTTTGAAGTTCCTGCATCCAATGCTGCAATTGCTCGTGCCTTGGAGCTCTTTCTTCTCACGCTTTTCGGGGAACTTTCATTTGGCATTTTCTTAACATATCTTCCATTTTCTTTCAGAAATTTTCGAAAGGATGAACGTGGTTTCACGTCGGTGTCGCCGTCCACCGGATACTTGTCCCCGATAACCCTCGATTCGCGTAAATACGGCTCAATTAGCTGTGGAATGCATACTTTGGCGTCGTCAGCTTTAACCAATAGTTTGTCACGAATGCTAAGGTCGCTGGTGCAAGCCTGGAATAACGTTTCGCACAATGACGCTCCCACTTCGCGAAGATGCTTGGTGTTAAAGTGCATGCTGTACAGCTCCCCGAAATTGGCGCCGCAAAAAGAAGCTTCGAGAGTGAAACTCCAATTAATTCTGAGCTCGTTCGCAACGACCACACGTGCAGTTGTCTCCTTGTCTTTACTTACTTTGAAGCTACAATCGGGAAAGGAGATATACTTTTTAGCGGTCTGTTGCATCGAAAACAGCTTTGCGAACCCTCGTGCTGCAGGATTTGGTTTCCGCTTGGTATCACAGCCGTACATGAACACATTTTTCTTTCGGGAGTGGCCGTGCATATCGCAATAAAAAGCAACTCCCCGTGACGAGCGCTCCTTGATAAGGAGTTCTTTTGCATGAAATATTGTTGGGTGTAGTGCCTTGCTCGGGGTTTGCCACTGCCGATTTAAATCACAGGCCGATAGACCACATCTGCTATTGCCGTAATACACACCATCCGGATTAAGTATCGGGATGATCTGGAATACAAACATTCGGCGTAAGACGCGAGCGACGTTCGAGCTTCCCAACAAGAAGTCTATTACTCCTCGCATCATCCAGGAGGCTTGAGATTCTCCTGGATGCACGCGAGAGGTAATGAAAACTGCTTTCCGTGCCTTGAATTCTTGTTCAGCAATAGAAAAGTCCGAGATTGTCAACAACTCGCAGCTCCTTCCACTTAACGTTGTACATAATGAACTGTGCCGAAGGATGTGGCTTGCGTCGCGCCCTGAGTGGAGAATGCGGTCAATGTGTAGCTGGTGCATTGTAAGTGTATACGGATAGCTGTGAGCTATGAGGAAAGTGTCGTCAGCGTTCCAGAATTCGAGAGTGAATGTCAGGGTATAGTACGTCATTACAGGGGCTGCGGGTGTCGCCAAAGTGGTTGTTGGGGCCGCCTCCGTGGGAACAACACTCGGGAAACTTGCTGCATTTCTTAGTGGTCGAACGAAAGAGTTAGCAAAATAATAAATGTCTGTACCCGAACGCACCCATCCTTTCCCTTTCTGATGAGCATCCCGTACGGAATAAACCACGGGTTGTAAGCCTTGATTGAACAGCGAGTTCGGCTTGCACAGATTCACGATATTAAAGCGATACTTTTGGCCAGCTCGTGAGCTGGATTCTGGTGTTTGGATATTACTTACAGCGAAGTAGAACCACTGCATGTGTCCAGAAGTGTTGAAATCCGGTCGTAAGACTAGATCATACTCGAACTGTCCAATGCGAATTGCTCGCGCCAGGTTTCCACTTTCAAAATTGCTATCAAACGTTAAGCTGCTGGCGAGATCAGGAAACGCTTCCGGATCTTCGGGGACGAAATAGGGAACATCACGCTGGGTGTCACAGGAGTTTAATAAAAAAGAAGGGATACCTGCGACGCTGTGGTCTCGTTCTTCCACCATCGATAGATTTTCATACACGACCCGTGCTCTCAAGTTGGCATCGCTTGCAACAAATTCAGCTCGCCTTGCAACGGCCTCGTCAACAAACCGAGTTGCATCCTCCGGTTCAGATAAACTACATGGTTCTAAAAACCCTGGATCGTCCAGGACAAACTTCTCTTCAGAATTGGTTTGATTTGCATGGTTCATTCTGGAGGGATGCTTTGGGAACTTGACCAAGAAGCTTTTGTCAGCGTAATACCATTTCTTATCTTCGAGGTGATCAAAGAAATTCGTCGTTGACACGTCCCGTCTCGTTGTTTTGTTTGATTTTCGGTGCTCAATTGATGGTCGTAGTGAGGATGAGTACAAGCTGGGGACCCTTGCAACCTCAAGTGATCCGTCCTTAAACTCCTCTTTTTCAATACTTTCAACCTCTTCCTCGTCATCACTGTCATCATCATTTTCTTCACCATTATCTGCACTAGTGCCAGCCACTCCGTCTTCTCCACAATACAAGTACTCCGGTGACGAAATGACGTCGACACTCTCGCTTTCTTCACTCAATTTTTGCTCGACTGATTCTTCAATGTCATTTTTGCTTTCAGCACAATATTCCTTGGGTTGTATCGCGTACGACATAGTCTCCGGCTCGATGCTGATGGCGGTTCTACCTGACGTCTCTATCGGCTTAAAGTGGCATGAGCTCTCCAAACGCAATAGTTTGGACACGTAGTCCTCATACTCGGTATCCCCAAGACGCAAGCCCGTTCTGCGGGATGATGACGGTAATTGCTGGACACTTGCACTGGAATTAGACGAGGAGATATCGTTTATCGCTTCTACATCAATTATCCCAAGAACTGCTTTCTCGAGCATTTTCACCACAATGGATGCAATACTTTCGCCGCCAAAAGTGTTGCTCAGAAGTGGTGACGCGGTTGGGGTGGGCATCTCATGATTATAAGCGCTTTCGACGTCAGGGGGTAAATTCTCCTCTCGGGCATCAAGGTAGGTGTGAAGCATTTCCAATAAATCCTTTCCACCACAGCTCATGACAACATCAGCGCCGTTCTTGGAGAGCATCATCTCTCTGACGAAATTTACTATGTCTACTGTCTGTGCCATTTTCGTTTTTATTAGTTAACACGACACAGAAATCCTGGAATTGAAGGTTTGGATTTAACGCACCTGGTCTCCCCACGACGTTGAAGACGGAATAGTTCTGCAAAGTATGTCGACTGCAATGCCGATGTAGCCAGTAATCGCCTGCACGCTCTTATCGTAACACTAGGCAGCCATAATTTCCAATCGAAAGTAACTTTTTAGAAACAATAAAAACTCACGGATGCAATGCATACGTACCTGTGTCTTCCAGTGTTTCGCCAAAATGGCGAAAACCTGCGATGCAAATCGGATGTTTTCTTGATAATTTCTCAAGCAGAGAAACAGCGCGGGAAGTGTGATATCTTCTTCTTGCATTGTGAATTGCTCCAGCGTCGACCGACTCAGTCTCGAAATCACGTGAACTAAATGTCCTGCTAATTCAGCAAGATAGCTAGATCCGCCGGCAAGCACATACAGCGACAACAAACCTTCTATTGTCTCTGAATTGATCAAGTGAGGGATGTCCACTGGGTTATTCGAAACATTGACAAAGAAGCGAAACGTGTTGTCAGCCACACTGGCCTCTTGTGCATGGCAAGTAGCGGCGAGAACGAGCATTTTCCCTTTGCAGTTCTTCACGAAAGGAGAAAGGTCCAACTTGCATTGTCGAGCAAAGTCGGACAAGTCAGCGATGATGGCGCACGTTACCACCGTCATCTCTTTAGTATTGCTATTATGCTCAATGACTTGGAACAGAAGCGGTATCATCTCTTCGCGAACAATTTGGCCGTACATTTGTGCGTCTCGTACTATTCGTGACAATAAGCGTACAGCACCACACTCCACTTCTCGACTCCGTGGGTCCATACGCAGACAGACACACAAAGCGCTAACGATATCTTGCTTGGCCATCATTTGGAGCATCCCTGGCGCTTCACCCATCAGAATCAGGACTTCACACACGGTTCGCTTCAAGTTCAATTTACTGTCACCAGTCTATCACAACAGCCAGTATAAGACTCCTTAGCTATATGGATCAAACTCAGTAGACGCATTATATGTACCAAATTCAGCAGACCGATCAGAATGGTGATGGCGTGTTCCTGGGTTGCAACTTGGATTCTCTTTACGCTGCCATCAATGAAGCGCCCTAGTGTATCTGTGGCCCGAACCAAGACGCTTTCGTCCTCATCTGGACGTGCCATCATCTCTAAAATTTGCTTGATCACGACGGTCTGTCTCCCTTGCTGCTTTGACTCGGTAGTTTGGCTCAATAGATTCACGAGTTCTAGTGCGCGCTTCAAGATCTTAGCGCGTCGTCTGCTGCCTCCAGCACCTACTGACACTTCATGCAGACATCGAATTGCCAGTTCCATTGCCCCGCCCCTAACTGCGTTTGTTTTAGTATCGGGATTTTCTAGAACGATCAGTGTAAGAAGCTCCAGCAGCACTTCGAGCGTCTCGCCGCGCGGCAGTTCCTGATCGCCCGCGGCCAGTGCCAGGAGCGGCTCCAAGCCATCGGTGAGGATGGTAACCTTGGCACCCTCAGATCGACAGCAAGATGCTAGCTCTAGTAGTATATGACGCACAGACGTAGGCGTATTCTTGCCGCGGTCCTGCAACCTCGTGAGCAGCGCCTGCGCGGTGGACATGGTGGATGTTGAAGTGAGCGCTAATACAAAATATTATTCGACGATTGGCTGAAAAACGTGGTCGTTACTGTTGATTATTTTAGTGTCCGATTGGTCAAAAAGGAATCATAAGTTTACCATTGTCACTTCAAACACAGAGACGATGATGCCGCTGTATGACGACGATGATGTGGATCTCCAGCCACTTCTAGACGGTGGAGAGGTGTCTGAAGATGAACGTATTCTGCACCGAAGGCGAGGCAAGGTGAGTCCGAGCTGGTTGATGCTGCTGGGTGCGGTCGTCGCCATGCTGCTGCTTGTACACATTTTGTTCGTGGCGCTACTCAGGAAAACAACAGTGACGCTGGACAAACTGACGCTGCCTGATCTGTGTCATCGAAGAACGGTAGGGGAGGTGGTCATGGAGTTTCAAAATCCATCATACTGCTCGCCCGTGGTCGGACCTTTAAACATTACGTTTGCCAAGAAGAACACGGGGGTCCTGCACCTTCAAGCTCCGGCCTTTGAGCTTCAATCTGGAGTGACAACTATGATATTTCCAGTTGGTTTTGAGCTGTTGACAGAACCTGAGGTGTTCTATAGCTTGGTATTCGCTGATTCAGAAACTATTGATGTTCATGGAGATATTCCAGTTTTAGTTTCGTGCCTGCTAGTCCCGTTTACAATCCACTTGGACGTCTCGAACTTACTTAGAGAAAACTCACGGCCACCGATGGATGCGGTTATCCCTCCGAAGTGGCGATATGCATTGGATCCACCATTATATGGCGCTGATGCGTGGGGGTCAGGTGTTGTCGACGGAATCAAGGAAGAGCTGCAACGTGTTGTGACGCAGATGCTGAAGACCATTGCGCTTTCCAACTTTCATACGGAATCTGACGACCAAGAGATATTTGCCTTCACAGATGTGTCATTCGAGTATGTATCAAGGGTGTTGTGGAACCTCCCGTCACTTTCAGTAAAGGTTCAATCTTCACAACGACAGACAATCCTTGTAGCAGGATTCAAGCGATTCATATTGGGAAGTGGACAGACATTTATTTCCGCGTATACGGAGGTTTTCAAAAACCAGTCGGAGCCACTACAATCCATGTTGCAAGCATACTTAGCAGGGGACGACCTCGTCCTCCATGTAGGTGGAGGCAATCGTGACACAGATTGCTACTCCTTGCAGGTGCTTAACCTTGTCGATGTAAAAGTGGATGTCCCCGCAAAGATCGACGACAAACCAGCGTTACTCCGCGAGTACTCCATTAAACCGTCGCTCAAGGAGCTTGACTCCAAGACACACAAATGTTTGCTGGAGCTAAAAGTCTTGATCAAGATTAACAACCCGTTACCCATTCACTTTGATCTCTATGGGATCGAGCTCGATCTCCTGTACGAGAAGGACTCGTCGAAAGTCCATTCGAGTCCGAAGTTCCTCATCCACATAAACAACACTACACACGTATCGTGGTTGTCGCATGAAGAGAACAGTATCGTGCTGGACACAGCAGTGCACGACTTCGACACCTGTCTCGAGGTGGTGGGGTTTTATCTGCACGACCAGCTGACTTTCGACATCCAGCATGGCCACATTTCCATGGGTGCCGGTAGCGGAAACTTCAGCATCCCATTCTCGGTCAGAGGCATCCACATTCACCCCGGTCAGGCAAGCAACGGCTCACAGCCAGCGTTTCTCGTCGAGGAACGGTGAAGTTGAAGTGGCGTCTGACTATACGCAACTTAAGGTCTTAGTGCAACATTATAATCTAATCTGTCAAATTCTGTGGCAGCTATTTCGCGTCTATACATCCAAAGGCAGTATGGGCGCCTCGTTCTCGCGATGCTTGTGTCTTGGTGTGGGTGTGGCATACCCCATGTACGCGAGCTTTAAGGCGCTGGAGCGGCCTGAAAGTGGCCACGACGAGAAGCAGTGGCTCACTTATTGGGTGGTCTACGGCGCTTCAACGTCCGTGGAGGCGGTGGCGTCGCCGCTCATGTGCCTGGTGCCAGGATACAACATCACTAAGACACTATTTCTCATCTGGATGATGTCGCCACAGACAAAGGTGCGTCGCATAGTGTGTGGGTCTGTCTACAAGCAATCAATAGTAACTACTTCATGTCGACAGGGAGCGACGATCGTGTACCATAAGCTTCTGTGCCCCTTCCTAAAGGAGAAAGAGCCGTACGTGGATCGCAAGCTGCTAGAGGCACAGGAGGCGGCTGAAAGTGCGCTGTCTTCCTTTGTGAGAGCCTGGGGTCAGACTATTGCTGACCAGGTCGTGGCTATCCAGAAGAGCGACGAGTTCAAGCAGATTTGCATGGCAATCAGGTCGCTGGCGTCCCCCGATTCGCCCAAGAAGAGGAGGAAGAAGAGTACTGGTACCAACAATAAGAGTAAGCAGTCGGCGTGTGAAGATTGAATCAAATAGTACATGATGCGTGTGCATAAGTATGCTACTGCGTAGTAGTATTACGCTTTGGCGAGCTTCAAACTCTCGCCAGAAGAGGGACAAGGTCCCCGGACCAACAGATCGACATCATTCGGTGTCATCTTTCTTCCACAACTACCTATCTTCCTCAGTCTTCAACTCTAGACTCGCACACAGCTTAATAGTGGTGCACGTAGTTAAAGTCCTCGCGTGAGTTCACTTTGTCGATGTACGAGTGCGCCTTGAAGTGTTCAGCCTGGATCAGCTCCGCCAGCATTGGCGCAACCGATAGACGCTTGAGTTTGTCACTGTGGAAGGCCTTCGGATCCGCCGGGATCGTGTCCATGACAACAACCTGTGACACGTTTGAGTCTTCAATCAAACGCTCGGCATCGCCATTCAGCAGCGGGTGCGACGCGAAGCAGTACACCTTGCGGGCACCCTTGCTGAGTGCGAGGTTCGTGAGTTTGGACAACGTTTCACTAGTGTCGACCAGGTCGTCCACGACGATCACGTCGGCGCCCTTAACATCGCCCACAATATCAGCCGGGGACTGCTCTCCCGACTCCTTCTTGCCAGTGCCGTGAAAGAAAACAGCAAACTGTGCGGGCGAGTCCGGCAGCCACTTGTTCAAACCCGTCTGGAAGATACGTGCGCGACGCAAACACTCCGGGTTGGGCGCCATCACAACGAGCGGGCGACGGAGATGCACCTGAGTGGCGAAGTATTCAACGCCGGCCATGATAGTTTCGATGGTTTCCACGGGAATATCAGAGCTGAAGAAACATGCTTCGTGGCCTTCCACACGCATCTGCATGTCCACCGCAATGACGCGATCGACACCCATGACTTCTAGCATCTTTGCAATGTCAGCAGCAGGACTCTGAATGAACTTGGAGTTCAAACTGGTCGCCGCCGGGTTAGCACGACGGTGATGCTTGTATGCGTAGTACCTGTACATAAGCAGAAGATTAGCTCGCTCTCCAGAGCTGAGGTATATCGTTATTCACTTACGGCAGCACGACGGTCACCTTCTTAGCGCTGGCACGACGCATCGTGCTGACCATAAGCAGCAGTTCGATGATGTTGTCGTTCACGGGGCTCGCCAGACTCTGTACGAGGTACACGTCCTTACCGCGCACGCTCTCACCCACTTGCACCTGCACTTCGCCGTCAGCGAAGCGACCCAGCTTGATCTTACCCACGCGGGTGCCAAGACGCCGCGCAATGTCGTCAGCCAGCTCAAAGTGCGACGAGCCTGAGAAGATCTTGAGCTCGTGGCAGCCAGGGATAAACATACCTGCGTGCGTACACGGGTGCTTGTCTGACGGGAAGAAGGGCGACATAGGATCTACACGCTTGCGATCGTGTGGCACGCCAAACTCAAGGTCGCGCAGGTCGCGTTTATCCTCCGCGCGGGCCGTCCTCGAGTGTGTCACACCGAGCGTCGCGCCACCAAGGAATACGGCGAGGGCCGGCGTCACTCGCGTGGCGGCTGAGCGGAAGGCGAACACCATGCTTGGCTGTCTGGGTATGAATTGCCGATGAGGTTTGCCCTCAACAATGCGACTGTTCTGCTCGATGACTGGAGGAAACACGCGGAGCTATGTCAGTAAAGAGAGGTGTAATTGAACAATTGTGGTATGGTTAACAATTGTTTTCGAACATCCAAAAGTAAGAGCTTACAAAGAACTCTTGAAGTAGAGCCTCGTGTTAGCGACAATTTTGGACGAAATGTTTTCCATTGCATTGCGGAAGCATCTAAAGCCCAGCTAGGTTGCAAGCATCCTGACGGACGCAGCACTTGCTAGATCCACACCTCGTTCCCCGGTCGATCGCTCTACTTCTGCAGGCTCTGCTCCAGGAGCTCAGCAAGGATTTCATTCAGGCCACCAAGAATCGTGCGGCCGTCCTCCACAAGACCAGCGGCCACCGTCGCGTTGGTATAGATCTTTTACGTTGACAACATCTAAATTAGCTCGGCGTTGGGAAACAAATGAAGCAATCAATAGCGAGACGAACCTGACGGGCCACCTTCTTGGCGAGGGCATCGTTGACTTCCCGCAGCGCGTTTAAGTCCACAATAATGCTGTGGTTCAGATTGATCTCCATCACGTTCTTGGAGAGGCCACTCATGTCCTGACCTGCGCGGTCGTTAACCATTTGCATCATCCTGTTGCCACCAACCGAACACAACATAAGTCACCAAAAGTGAACCAAGCAAACTCTACATCGCGTGCCACGTACTTGCGAATCGAGGCCGACTCGTGATCCACGATGATAGCAGGCGAGTCAGTCAGACGGGATGTGAACTACAAGAAACCACAACGAATCAGTACTATACTCGGTAGCACAGCAGCGAAGATCGTTATGATACCTTGACTTCCTTCACGTTGTCCTCGAGAGTCAGCTTCAGCCAAGCACCGAAAAGGTCCTGCTCATCCTTCGACAGCTTCTTTCCGGACGCATTGTCGTCACTGACGACGTCAACCTTAGCGTGCTCTGCGGAGATAACCTTACGACCGTTGAACTCGGCAATGTTCGTCATCACGAAGTCATCGATGGGACTGTAGACGAACAAAACCTCCTTGTTCATTTTCCTGTTGCAATCAAAAAACCGGTCAGTAAAAAGGTGTCAGCAAGGACAGTGTCGTCCACTTACTTGAAGGCCTCGAAGTACGGCGAAGACTCCGCAATAGCCCGAGTAGGAGCGCAGAGGTAGTAGATCTCGTTCTGGTCCGGTGGGCAGCGTGACACGTACTCATCGAGAGTCGTCAGCTTACCTTCGTCCACCTGGCTTGATTCGTAGCGCAGAAGCTTCGCCAGAGCGTCTTTGTTGGCGAAGTCCGTGCAGATACCCTCCTTCACGAACTGTCCAAATTCCTTAAAGAACTTCTCGAACTTTTCTGGTTCCTTGGTGGACTAATGCACACATGGAAACGTTAGTCATCGGTAGAAATTGACTTTTTAAACAGCAATACACAGTTGACGAACCTCACGCTCCAGGAAGCGGATAATTCTTCTCGTGAGAACGTCACGAATCTTGTGGATCAGACGGCTGTCCTGCATCTTTTCACGCGAAAGACTGAGAGGGAGATCCTCACTGTCAACGACGCCACGCACGAAGCGCATCCAGTCTGGGAGAATGTCGGGCGAGTTGCGCTCAATGAGAACCTTACGCGAGTACAAGCTCACACCCGGCTCCAAGCGAGAGTAGCCGAACTTCTCGGTGTGCGATGTTCCAATGAAGAAGAGAGTCTTCAACTCAATTGGCGCATCCGCCTTGAAGATGACGCGGTACGCCGGCTCGTCAAACGCGTTGGCAATAAACTTATAGAACTCCGTGTATTCCTCGTCCGTGACTTCGCTCTCGCTCTTGGTCCAAAGAGCCTGCACCGTGTTCACCGTGTCGCCATCCAGAACAATCGGGAACGACACGAAGTTCGAGTAGCGACGGATGATGGACTCCACCTTGGACTTCGTGCCAAACTCCTTGCAAGAATCCTTCAGGTGGATCACGATCTTACTGCCGCGCGTCACATCGTCCGCCTCGGCAACCTCGTACGATCCACTACCATCCGAGCGCCACAGGTGGCTCTGACGGCCAGAGACCGCCGACTGTGAGTACACCTCCACTTTGTCGGCAACCATGAATGCGGAGTAGAATCCTACTCCAAACTTACCGATGATGCCACCCAATGCATCTCCGGACTCACCGGGAGAGCTCTCCTTTAGCTGCTCCAGGAACGCTTTTGAGCCGGAGCGAGCAATCGTACCTAGGTTCTCGATAAGCTCGTCCTTTGACATACCCACACCGGTATCCGCGATCGTCAGTGTGCCGGCCTTCTCGTCCGTGGTGATGACGATCATGGGCTCCAGCTCAGCGTCCTGGATGGACTCTCCAGTCGACTGCAAGTGACGCAGCTTCTCCAAGGCATCCGAGGCGTTGGAGATGAGTTCGCGGATAAAAACTTCCTTGTCCGTGTAGATGGAGTGCGTCACAATATCCAGAAGCTGGCGCGTCTCAGCCTGGAACTCGTGGCGGTCCGCTGCAGCTATGAAACAGCGAGAGTACAATTATCCGTCAGTCCATATACTTCAAATGATAGTGCAATCACTGCAGCGGTTAATTCGCATGCAGGTAGAGATTTTATGCACCTGTGTCGTCCGCAGCGCTGGTGCTGAAGCAAGCGCTGAGGTGCTGCGCGGACGGAGCGAACTTGGCGCCGCGCTGTACAAGACGCGAACTCGGAGCAATGCAGCGCAGGACTGCGGAGCGCGTCGCGGTGCGACGTCCACTGGCCGCAGCCGAGGTGCTTGCGCGGCGAGCAACGTGTTGCGCAGCGGATCGCATCATCTTGTCCGGAGGTCTTTGGTTTTTGGCCACAAACTTGTATGTCAAAATGTACTTAACAAGCCACACCTGGTACCGGTATGTGCAACACATCAGTTGGGAGGAAGAAGTGTTCGTTTCGTCACAAAACAGTTCTCCACGAGGTTCGAAATGACTAATGCTACCGACTTCTTGGGCCTATTGAAGTGCAACAGAGGTAGATTTAAGCGAGCGCTCCACTCACGGCGAAGTGAGTGTATTTAAAAATAAAAGCAGCTTGCTACATGTACTATATTGCTTATAAACAGCGTTGAGCACCGTCAAAAATGAGTACACCAGTGACGATGTGCGACTTACCCAACAAAATGGTGGTGGAGTCCACCCCTTGCGAATAAACCGCCCTCCTAATTGCGCTTCTGAGAGCGTTTTATTGAAATAGAGCGCCGCTGAATAGTATTCAATGAATACAACGTGCATTCTAGAATTTCTACAGAATCCTTTCAGCTCAATTTTTATGAGCCAATCGTATTGAAAGGTACCCTAGAATTTCTTAGAATCAGTTCAGCTAATAACTCGCCTACCATTTAATTCCCAATTTTGCTGTCATGCCGCCAGAGATTCGAGATCAGTTTAAAACTGCGTGCGATCAACTTAAAAGAGATGTTATTTTTTTAAATATTTTTTTATTTTGCAGTAAGATAATTTATTTAAGAGCTCCTATTTCAAAATCAAATAATTTATTCCGCGCTCTCCCCAGGCAATAACCTTTAACCGTGCTTGATGGAGCCCTACGGACCAGCGGTCCAGCTGAACCGCAATCTACAATCGATCTGCCGCGCTCTTGCCCTCTCATTTTGATGGTAAGTCGCTGAGACTCCGCGAGAGCCACCTGCATTTTGTGCAGCACTGTCATTGTCCGATCTGTCTCCAATACCCACACCCACCGCAATGCCTCCGAAGCGCACGAAGCGCACGTAGAGCCAGCCGCTCACAGCTTCTGCCACGAGTCAGGCCACTATCGCGCCCACGAGGCCGTTAAAGAAGGCCAAGCGCAAGGACAAGAAGGCCAAGCATTCCACAGCTCCGTTCGCCTCGAAGGAAGTGGCAAGGTTCTACTTCAAGGTCGTGTTGGACGATGATGGTGAGGCCACCGTCTTCTATCGCTGCCGTTGTGGTGTCCGTCGCAAGATGGAGCCCAACACTGGCTACACGAACTTGCTCCAGCACATCTTTGTGTGGCATTCCAACTTCGTGGCCGAGGTGACGGCAGCTGTTGGTGAGAAGGGCACTCTTGTCGGCGTCATCGACGACATGACGGCCAAAATCTTCGCCTGGATCGACATGGTGCTCACAGCCAACGTTCCATTCAGCTTCTGCGAGTCAAAGGCCGCTGCCGACTACGTGAGCATCGACGCTCTGTCGACCGACAGTCTCGTGAAGTACATGACGCTACTAACTCGTGAGGTCGAGATCGTAATTGCCAATATCCTCCCTAAATCGTTTGTCATCATTTTTGACGGGTGGACCTTTCGGTCGGAGCACATCGTCGCGATCGTCGTCTCCTTTCACCACGACGGGGAGACTAAAACGTGTTGCTCGCCATGGCCCCATTGGTGGATGAAGATGTGGACGACCATACGGCCTCGCACATGTGTCTTTCATAGGGGCTATACTAAAGTTCCTTAACAAGTCAACCGACAACATCTCGTACATCGTTGGTGACAATTGCAGTGTAAACTGTAAAATTGCTGAGGAACTCAATGTCCCTTTGGTGGGTTGCGCCAGTCACCGCCTCAACCTGGCCGTGAACCTCATGCTCGCTGAGCACGATCACCTTTATGATCAAGCTAAAGAACTCCCTGATCGCCGCTGCTCATTTACCGTAAGTCCCCTTTTAACGTTACACTACTCTGTGATTGAACTCTAATAAATTATATTTTAATATTTTTTTAATGTTTTGTATTCAGCCCATTGGCCACCTTGCGTCTGGTACTTCGTCATGCGGCTCGCTGGTCGTCTGCATTTGCGATGGTCCACGGCTATGTAAAGCTCAAGGAAGTAATGGATAAGATTGATGATGATGAGATAACGTCGATGCTACTCTCCCGTCGTGGCAAGAAGGCTCTTGTGGGTGTTCCAAGAAGTTCGAGTCAACTTCGAAGCAGCTTCAACAGGCTGATAGTGCGGTGCTGCTGGATGTGCGCAACCTGTTCGACGCCTTAATCAAGTTAGCACCAGACGTCAAGAAGTACCTCGCGCCTGACGCATCGATCGTCAAGAGCCCCGCGCTCGAGGAAGCTTGCGTCCAGGTTCTTCTCGGCAATGAAGCAGCCATCCCAGAGGAATCGTCCGACGTGCTTGTCAAGCTCGTGTCTGGTGGTACCCGACCCACAGGTAAAGAGCCCCCAGCCAAGGCGGCGAGAGAGGATTTTGCGAAGGACATACTTGTGAAGGCACGTCGCCAGCGGGAGAAAGCCCGACGCTTTAAAGACCACATAGCCTGCATCGCGCCGACGTCTAACCTTGTGGAGCGCTTTTCAAACCAGGCGAAGGCTGTGCTGGGAATATACTGCCAGAGCATGACCCCGCTGCATCAGGAGTCGATTTTATTCCTCAAGGTAAACGAGCCTACTGGAACGCTGCCACAGTCCGGAAGGTTGTGCGTGGTGAGGCTCCCACCAACTAGACGAGTATCAGCCCACGGTATACTGCATGCAATAACACCAATAATTTTTGCACCCGTGGTGCTCCAAGCACTTAAAGTTATTTGTATTGCTGTTTTGCCAGTCTCAATAAAAATAACATTTTCGGAACCTCTGGGTGGTATTCCATCACATGCCGAAAACACTTTCGTCAGTTGGGTTGGTGTATAAGCGCATCATGCTTCCGGCAATGGTGGCGGGACCGAGAGCAAATTCGCATCATCGGTGGTTGTCGCAAGCTCTCTACGGCGAGAGACTAAATAAAGGAAGCTAGGTAAATGACAACAAAGCGAAGAGACTTATTGTTTTAGCGCGGAGAATTAACGTGTGACGGGGTCACACAGCACCTTGCGCTAGAGGAAGTTGGCTTCCGAGAGTATACAAACTCTCAGTGAACGGCAGTTGACATGTCCCCTTTTATCGAAAGGGAGCAAAGTGACCTGTTTAACGTCGAATGTAAACTGAGTATATTCATAGGTAGATAAAGATTGGGTTAAATACAAACTATAAGTCACCAATAGAAAAGCAATGTCATCAGCCCATGGTTGGATTTAGACGACCTTGGTACCTTGTACCAAATATCCCGAAGTATGACGTGTCCCACTTCATGTAACTAGTGGTACACTTAGGGCTACGTACCCCGTTACATTCTCCCCCTTTAGGTTCGGTTTACCGACCAATCAGAATGAAGAAGTGTTCGTCACAAACTTTCATTCTCAAAGTCAAAAAACATTGACTTGGCCGCGCGAGCGCGGCGGAGGCTCACTTCACAGTTAGAGCCTCAAGCAGCAGTATGTGCGCTCCTCTTCTTGGTCTCCACTTCGGCCGTTTGTCATGCCTCATGCCTCGTGGCACTGCAAAGAGCGGTACAAAGACACGCTCCTAAGCTGCTGTCGGAAAGGCGCAAGCCCAGAGCACTAAGCCTCACGGCAAAGGATCGGCACTTCAGGAGGCTACTCAGGTGGCCTCCGAGGCGATCGGCATATCGGGTGTAGCGGCTGTGGGCAAGCGAACAAGAAAGTGCCGCAGCCCGTCGCCCTCAGCCTCTCCAGACAATCGTCCGAACCCTCGGTTTGCTGAACGTGAGTTCGACTCTGGCAGTGAGAACGAAACCGAGTTCGAGAGCATGCACGATGCTCCTACGGGCTCTGCGGGAGGGCACAGCCCAGTGCCCAGCGAGCATAAGGACGACAGCGTGCAGTCGCTCGCTAGTGATCAAGGTGATCACAGTCCTAGGACGTCTGTGCGCTCTGAGAGTCCGGCCGTCAAGGCTAAGGGCACTCCCAAAGCTGGTAACGATGAGGAAGAGAAATCTCGCAAACGTCTCTCGCTTGCCTAGGGTCTTGCGCGTGCTAAGGCCGCTAAAGCCGAAGGCGCCAAGCCCTCTAAGAAGCGTACGGCTTCTAAGTCTCCTCTCCGCGAGGAGAAGAAGACTCGGTACTCACATCGAGCCTTCTTCTTTTCCTCTGATGAAGAGGACGAGAACGAGGAGGAAGAGAAAGAGGGTGGTATTCCTGATCCCCGGGAGATCACGAATGACCTCGGCCAGCAGCAGGAGGACTTCCAAGCTGCCCAGTATGCGCGTTGGGGCTCGGTGGTGGCACCCGTCAGTAAGGGAGCTGCCATCAGCTCAAGAGGGTATTGGCCTCCCGAGGAGATATCTGGGCTGTCCTCTCTTGGAGCTTCTCGTCGCTCATCGTGGTCTTGTTGGCGGCCACACCTCTAGGGGTGTTTACAGATGAACCACACGAAGTGAGGTAGAGCACGTAATCATTAAATCTCAAACAGCAATGAGCACTAGTGAGGGCCTTCGTATAATTCGTAATGATCGTTAGATTTTCTCTCTTCTGCCTCACTTAGTCTTACATCAACCTGTCCCAAGTTTGGGTCTCGCACACTAACACAATATTCGTTTCTGCGCCAAGTCAAGTTCAGTAATCCCCAACAGCCTAACCTACTGACCATTGACGTGGCGCTGCTTAAACGCCTCATTTGACAGCAACCCCATAGTAGCTCTGTGCTTTTCAAATGTCGTTCGTGGTAGCGGCTTGGAAAAGGCGTCTGCCACATTTTCGCGTCCTGGTACTCGAGTACTTCAATATCCTTCAGCTCCACTCGTTCTCGTATGAAATGGTGTCGTACATCGATATGTTTGGTTCGCGAATGATAGACGGGGTTTAGCTATTTTCCTGGCGCTCTCATTATCCACACAAACGTGTGACGGCCGCCGCTCCTGAACCTGTAGCTCCTTAAGCATCTGTCGCAAGTGTACAACTTCTTGTGTCAACAAGCTTAATGCCATGAACTCAGCTTCCGTAGTAT